CCTCCCTGAGGGCAGCTCTGGAATGGGCCCCACAGGGTGAGCAGAGGCAGGAAGGGCCAGAGAGAGCTGGACAGAGGAGAGCGGAGCACCTGGTCTCTGGAACCTGGCTGCCCGCTGGAGCTGGACCAGGCTGGGGAGGAGCTGGGGCTGGCGTGACCCTTGCTCCCTGACGCTCTGGACTCGGCTGTCCTCTCCCATGCCAGGGCCTCCGCCCTCAGGACAGTCCTCCTGTGGCACAGAGCTGGTCCCCTACCAGCATGGGGAAGCCCCAGGGCAGGCTCAGTCCCTTGAGGAAGGAATGGATCCCAGGGGCAGACCCTCCCCGAGGCGGCCATGAGCCCCAGAGGCCTGAGGTTGGTCTGCTTCCCCTTTATCCTCCCCCAGACACAGCGCTCCTGGGAGTGCAAGGGGTTTCACATGGTCTGAGTCCCCGTCCCAGCGGGGAGCTCCAGGTGGTCTGTGGCTCTTGGGGCTCAAACACCGACCGTGGGTTTGTTCCCCCTGAGCGGGTGGCTACGCTAGGGGTGTTCTCCGTGTGACTTTCCAAGTAGTGAAAGTCCCTGCTCCTGCCTCAAACACTGGGCRCAGCCGGTGAGCTTGGTCCCAGCCATGCCATGCTGTCCAGCCCTGTGTGGGCTTGTGGGGCCGTGCAGGGCAGCTCTAGGTCAGCTCTGGTCACAGCCTTGGTTCTGGAATCAGAGCTGGATCCACTGAGCCACGGCAGAACTAGAGCAAAGGGCTCCAAGCTTGCCAGGGACCTGAGCTTTGGGTRACTGTCCCCAGGGACTCTGCCAGAGGTGGACCCAGCCCTCATGCCCAGGCTGGGCTCAGGCTTGGCCAGCTGCAAGCTGCAGCACCGGCTTGGCCCGCCCCCAGCTCCCTGATGGGCAGCTGGGTGGTTCAGGCCAGGCCACTTCCTGTGGGGGGAGCAGCGACCCGTACAGGAAGTCACTCTCCTTGTCTGTCCCCAGCTTTTTCTTTCAGGCGAAGTCATTTTCGCCACAGATCAGTCATTCTAGGGGAAGTCATTGTCCACGGACAAGGCTGTGGGGAAGCACCACACCTGCTCTGCGCTGAGGGACACTGCTTCCCTTGATTCCAGAGCCCTCCCTGGTGAAGTGCCCCTTGCTGAGGCTTATTTGTGACCTCCWGCTAGCCAGCAGCCCTCCTGTGGACTGCTGGGGAGAATCTGCCGTCCTGTGCATCCCAGCGTCCCAGTCCCAGGGAGGCTGTTTTAGGGGCTTTTTCACTGCTGGGACTAAAGGATCTGACCAGAACAATTTCAAAGGAGGAAAAGTTTATTTGTGGGCTCATGGTTTGGGAGATCCCAGTCCAGAGAAGGTCAGCCCCATCCYTCGGGGCTTGAGGTGACGCAGAACATCSYGGCAGRAGAGTGTGTTGGAGGGAAGCTGCTCCCAGGATGATCGGGAAGGGGACTCCACTGGCCAGATACAGATTCACACCCAAAGTTGCACCCCAGTTCCCACCTTCCCCAGCCACACCRCCACTTCAGTTAATCCCATCAAGKACTCATGCTGATTAGGCTAAGCCTCCGCCTTGACTCACAGGTGAGCGTTGGGGGACACCTCACATCCAAACCACAACAGAGGCCCACAGGCGGCCTGTGCCCGGCTCCCTCAGTTCCCGCTGTTGGGCTGTTCATTGCCCTGTGTTTGTAAATCTGAGTTTGGCTGGCGGTGTCCCTGTTCTCACCAGCCAGGGTGCAGCGCCGCAGCGCCACCGTGGAGGCCAGCACAGGGTGGCACAGCCTCTAAGGGAGACCGTGCTAGAGCCGTGGCTCGGGCTGTTAGGGGCTGCTGAATGGGAACGCTGTCCGGGGACCCACCAAGATAGTTAGATGTGGCATCTGCTCGGAAACACGTGGAGTGGGGGCTGTGGGTGTCACTTTTGAGCGTATCGTGCCCAGGATGCCTGGGAGCCCAGCTGTCCCCAGGAGCAGTGTCAGTGCTGCCGTCCCAGATCCCTGGAGCTYCCCACAGAACCACTGTCCCCACTCAGAGCCTGTCATCCAAGACAACCCAGGGCTTGGGCCGAAGCTTCGCTCTGTTTTCACTTTTCTCCATGTGGACAGGTTTGGGGAGGGAAGCCAGCCACGGTCGTTTCCTCCAACCCTGTTCYACGCTGAGGATGCTCCAGGAAGAGAGGCTTTCTGCCCCACGTGGGGAGAGGCACCCAGTCTCTCTCCTGCCTGCGTCTCCAACTCCAGGGCCTTGGGATGGATACACTGGAGGAGGCCTTTCTGCCACCGTGAACCCACAGAGATTTTGGAAAGGAACGGACTGTTTTGGTCAGGCTGGGCCTGAGGACATGGGTACCCTGGGCACAAAGGTGGGAACGAGTGGCTCTCAGGGCCCAAATCTGGGAGAGGTGGGAACCTGGACAAGGCCCCTCCAGGAGTCACCGAGGGTCACATCCCACAGGACAGGCTATGGGAATCGAGGGACCTGGCCTGGCCAGGTGCTCTGACCAGCATCCCCTCACCCAGGCCAGGCCCGAACTCCTTGCTGAACAAGGAGAGGCCACCCAGCTCTGCTGCCCGGCACAACTGCAAAGACTGGATGCATACTGGGAAAAAGCACACACTTTATTTGCATAGTATTTTGTCATTGAATTTTACAGCTTAGAACAGACAGAGAGCAGGAGACCAACTGTGGTCCACACTGATGGGAGACGCACCGAGAAGGGAGTGTTTGGGAGCGTTTGGCCACTTCCAGGAGCTTGAGCATCCGGCCTGGGAGCAGGCACCTCTCAGAGCCCAGCTGTCCCCACTCAGAGCCTGTCACGTGGTGCTACTCCCAAGGAGGTGTGTGGAGCACCCACCCTCCCCTGCCAGCCCAGTGGGAGCAGCACATCAGCCACTGGAGCCACGAGAGCTGGCCACGATCAAGGAGGTCACACTCTGCACTTGGCCATGTCAGAGCGGGTCCTCCCTCCAGTGGAAACCCAGGGCCACAAGGGGCCKCAGGGAGTGCCACACACCCCTGTCCCCTCTGTCACAAGCTTGGGGGCTTTTCTTTCACACTCCTCCRCAGGACCTTGAGTTAGGAGCCAGCTGTCACGTGAGAGAGACTCAAAGGCCCGCTGTGCCTACGGGGCACAAGTCGTCTCAAGGAGCCCAGTGTGGGCAGGCGTCAAAAGCCAGGTCCCAGAGCACCGAGGTAGTCGAGGAGAAACCAGACCCGGAACCAGGGCTTCCGGACCTGCACATCCCTGAGTCCCCAGAGGACCTCGGCTCCATGGGATGAGCCGGCCCTGAGAGGGTTCACGAGGGCTGGGCTCAGGCCACTGGCAGCCCAGGGGCCAGCACAGGCTCTGAGGGGGAGGGAGGAGGCCCAGGGAGAGGCCAGGGCCAGGCTGCAGGGGTCGGAGTGGGTCTGTGTTCAGCCCCGGCTCTGAGGGCTCTGCCTACACACTCAGCCTCAAAGGTTTCTGCTGTCCCCATAAGTGGCCAGCACAGCTGTGCCCTAGGAGGGCTGGTCCCTTTGTTTCTAGCCAGCATCCACCCTGGGTGCTGAGAAGGCACTAAAATATGACCAGCCACCTAGAGAGCCACCTGGCAAGGTGCCCATGTGCCTGCCCTCAGGTGGCCCTCCCTGGCCACCAAGACCCCGGCCCTCCCCTCTTCCCTCTCAGGTCATCCAACCACTCAGAGGTCACCCCTCCACACTCATCCAAAGGGGGACAGCAAGGCTCAGGAGGAAGACCCAGCAGGGCCGCGCCTGCATGCATGTCCCTGGAGGGCCTGCCACCCCTCTGGACAGAGGGTTGGGGGAGTGGACGGGGCGGGCCAGCAGCCTGCACTGGATGCGGACAGCAGCAGACAGAAAAGTCACTGTTTAATCAAAGTGAAAGGACCTGGGATCATCTGGAAAGGCACACACAGCCCCAGGTGTCCTTGGGTACGACCTTGAGGACAAGGGAGTCGTGGACACGGCCACACAGGTTAGCTGTTCGCCTGTGCAGAAGGAAAAAGAAACAGACGCTGCTTTCTTCAAACAGCAGCAGGCAGGCTACTCCTCCTCCAGGTGCAGGTGGCAGGGCCCAGGCGCAGGAAGCAGGGGCCAGGCTGCAGGGGGACGGGCGGTAGGGACCCCAGCACCTCTGGGAACAGGCTCAGCCTGGGAGCCACACTCGGCTGAGGACACCAACACCTCAGGGGTGTCACCGTGGAGTCCTTGCTCCCTACCTGCCACACGTCCTGACACCCGGTCCTCTGCCGCTGCAGCCACACACACCCGCTCCTCTGCTCCCTCACCCCTGTGCCCAGCCCCCACTGTCCCTCCTTGTTGCCCCCAATTACAGCCACACCTGTCTGCATGCAGCCACCTGCCCCTCTCCAGGTGAGGCCCAGCCCCAAGGTAATGTGAAGGCCCTGCACCCAGATGTCATTGAGGGGACAGAGGTAGAGCACTGYCCCTGGTCCTGGCCCTCCTTCAGCCCTGAGACCTTGGGGACACGAGGAGAGGAAGAGCAGGTCTCTCCCCAGTGCCAGCCTGGAAGGAGTCAGGACCTGAGACTATGGGCGGCCTGCTGCCCCTGAGYTGGGGACACTCAGGGCTCTGCCAGCAGAGGGGCTCAGGATGGCAGGGCAGGATGGCAGGGGCCTGGGGTCACCCTCTCCATGCTCCTTACCCTGCTGCAGGGTCTGGGGACCCAAGGCCCCCAGACACTCCTGCACCCCTTGAGTGTGGGGGCTGCCCGGGGCCCTGGGGAGGTCCCCATGAGGGGGGCRCCCCATCCGACTCTTCCCTCTGCTCCCTGCCCCTCACCACAGGGTTCAGTTGATGTGGGCGGTGGTGACTGGCCAGCTGAGCCGGCTCCAGTGCAGAGGGCAGAGCCCCGAGGAGGGTCCTGCTGGCTTCTGCCACCAGCACCTGCGGGCACCAGGGCCTGGGGACACTGGATTGGGGGAAGGTGATCTTGATCTAGCTCCACTGCAGCCATGGGAAGCAGGGTGGCCTGGTGCCTTGGTGGCCAACCAGCTTGCCACAGCAGAAGCTGGCCCCCTCWCAAGGAGACGAAAACCCCGTGGAAAGGACAGGAAGTTACCCTCATCTGTCGGTAGATCCAGTCTGTGAACACCGTCATGTTTCCGTACACTCCGGGCCTGTTAGGCTTGGCACACCCAGATCCCCAGCTCGTGTCCCCAATCAACCACCAGACTTCATTCTTCAAAGTGACCAGCGGCCCTCCACTGTCCCCCTGGGGGACACAGCAAGTTACCCAGAGTAGAAAGGCTAGTTGCAACCCTCAGCCCATCTCAGAGCACCTAGAAGGTGCGGGGTCGGGGGTTAGGAGTCGGGGTGCCGTCCGCCCTCCACCCCGGGAGGCAGGCTGCRGCAGCAATGGACACAGGCGCCCAGCTCAGCGTGGCCAAGAGGCCGGCTGTCTGTGGTTTAAGTCAGCACGCTCCCTCCTGCTGCCCGGGACTTCCCCAGGGAAGGGCTCTTTCCCAGGAAGCCGAGCGCAGGAGGCTCTCATGCTGTTGGTGACCACCAGTCCCCACAGCTGCCCCAGAGCGGTATCAGCAGGAGGCTTCACAGAGCCCCGCAGAGCATGGACCCTCACAAGGGATCGGCAGGAACTGGCGAGGCTCAGAGTTGAAGAGAAACTGGCAATTACCTGGCAGGAGTCGATGCTGCCCTGCAGGTACCCAGCACAGATCATGGCCGGCGTGATGAGGTTATTGTAGACATATTTGCTATTGCAGCGCGAGTGCTCAATGAGGTACACCATYGCAGCGTTCAGCACGTCCGAGGTCTTCCCTAAGGACAGAGGCAGGGACCAGCGGCTCTCAAGGGCGAGTGGATGTCCTTCCCTGAGGCCATGCCTGCTGTCCCCTCCCTCTGCCCATCCTGATCCCAAGCATGGTGTGCTAGGTAGGGTCAGTRTGGTTTTCCCCATTAAGATGGGGCAACTGAGGCACAAAGCCAGGTGAACTGCCTCAGATCATCAACCACTGAAGAGCAGAACTCAGACTCAAACCAAGTGCCCACGCCTTGCCCTGGCTGCCCCCATGCCCCATTGGCCTGCATGCCCCGAGCCTTACCTTTCTCATAGGTGGCCCCCCACCCCGAGATCCAGCATGGCTGTTGTGCCTCCAGCATCATGCCAGGATTGGGCAGGCACACGGGCTTCACCCTGTCTGTGCCAAGAGGAGGAAACCATGAGCCCTGGGAGTCCAGCAGTGGCCTCAGGCAAGAGACTGCGCCTGGCCTGGCCCTGTGCAGAGGCAGCCCCCACCACCCTACCCCGAGAACCCCGGATGCCCATGTGCCTTGACACCCCCACTGTGTGCCCTGGCAGGCCCCTCTTTCTAACAGGCGAGAAGTTCCCCTCTGAATCCTGTGACATCGCTGCTCCTAAAAACACGTTCAGCCTCCGGCTCCTGGCTCCTGGTGGGCTCCCCTGTGAGAGCCCTTTCCCACCTGGAAGGCAAGTTCTTCATGGGGAGGGGGAGGCCGTGCTTCATCTGCACCCACGTGGGGCTAGAACATTCCAGACCTTCGCATAGACAAGTGCGGGGACCAAACAGGAAGCTGAGGGGACRCGCTGGTGTAACCCGTGATTCTAAAGGACATCACTCCCTGAGTGTACGTGGGCAATAGAGCTCTCTTTAGAAATTGCAAGCCTCATGCTCCCAGCTGGAGGTGATTCCATCCCCGCAGACGTCTGGCAATGTCTGGAGACAACTTTGATTGTCTCGACTAGTGGATGCTACTGACCTCTAGTGGGCAGAGGACAGGGACGCTGCTAAACGTCCTGCAAAGGGCAAGCAGCTGCACATCAAAGAGGAGCAAATCTGGCCACCCTGCTTCCCTTCCCTACTCCAGAGCACTCCTGGCCTCTGCCAAGCCCTCCTCTAGCAGCGCCAATCTGTTCAGTGCCAATCTGTCTTCCCTGACCACGCGTCTCGCTAACAACCAGCATCTCTCTCCTTACAACCTGGCCCAGCACCACATCACCCTGGCCACCCGCACCACTGAACGTCAGCATCGCCCCGGCCACACGTACCATTGAACGTCAGCGGTGTCTGCAACTTCATAAGCGCAACATCGTTGTTCTTGGTCTTGGAATCATAATTGGGGTGAGAGATCACTTTCTCCACCCGGTATCCACTTCCATAGAGCATGGAGGACTGTCTCAGAAGGCCTGCGAATGCTGTCCAGTACCGCGGGCTGTTGAGAGGCCTGGGAGACAGAGGCACAGCACACAATGTCTCACCCCGCKCCAGACGGTCTTTGCAAACTACGAGCTGGAGCTGTTGCCCAGGCTGAGACGACTCCCCAGGCTGCAGAGCAGGACTGGGTAGTGGGGGGCTCTACCTATCACSCCGCCACCGGTGCCCCTCTTTCTGCCTCCAGCTGAGGACTCTGGCTGCTGTGGCCGCTGCACTGGCCCACAAATGGGCCCTGAATCTGCCCTAAAGTTGCAAGCCCTGTTTCTGGCAGGACTGGGTCCTATTAACCTTCAAATGTCAGGTCACTTCCTGGTGACAGCAGGTACTCAAATACAAGTATGCTAATAAACACACTTGGACTCTAATAATAATCGAGACATTCCCTTTATCCACAGATTTTATTTGGGATCTGAGGGCTCCCAACTGCTAGAGAGCTCTCAGGATCCAGGGGCCTGAAGGGAGAGGCAGAAGGGGACACTCCTGGGCGAGACATGGACACTCCCTGCACCTTTACAGCAGCCCCCGTAGAGCAGGGCACACCTGTGTRATAGGTGCAGACCATGTAGGTCAGAAACACTGAGTGACCTGTCCTAGACACACAGCCAGAGGACGGCCAGGCCAGGAGTGAKGCTTCCTGCAACACAGGCAGGTGCCAAAGTAGACGCTAAAAAAAGGAAGCGAGGGGGGCAGTACCTTCCACAACCCCCACGCATGCACCCCTCCCTGACCGTCTGCATGGGCACGAGGTCCCCGAGAGCATCTGAGGGCTTCTCCTGGCACCAGCATCCGGGAGAGGGGAGGCCCGACAGCAGAGGCACGGAAGGGCAGGGCAGGGCAGGAGGGAGGCTTCAGGGACAGGGTCACAGCCATGAGCACAAGCCACCCTGGCTGGGGCGCAGGGCCAGGGCCAGGCGAGCAGGGGCACTCCGCACACCTGCTGAGAGTGGACTGGCCTACCCACACTCAGCCATGCTTCTGGCTGAGAGCTGTCACAGTCTGCCCAGGGCTCATGGTTCCTCCTCTTGGCACAGACAGGGGGAAGGACAAAGGGTGAAGCCCTTGTGCCCCACTCGCCTGTGGATACCAAGGCCTTGGAGCTTCACAGCCCTGAATAAGGCCACMGAGTCTCACTCCAAACCCAGGGTCCGTGCCACCCCCACCACCCGACCTCCAGGGACGTGGACATACTCCTCCACGCAGTGGGCAGCGGTCACAATCCACTCAGGGGTGATGATGGAGCCTCCGCAGACGTGGACGCCTTGGACGTGCAGGCTGACCTGCCAGGGCCAGTTGCCCAGGTTGGCGTTGGATCCACCCACGATCCTGCTCTGGCGCCGCAGAAAGGGGCCACCACACTCTGGGGGACAAGCGAACGTCAGCGGGAAGCCAGCCCAGCAGGAGCCACCCGGCCCCCGGCCMCCAGCCCAATCCTGAGGGCACAAGGCTCCCACCCAGGGGTTCACCAGGCAGGGCAGTCGGCAGGACGGCCCCCTCCCATTCCCCAGCATTAGGGGTCCAGGAGAGGAGTCACAGTCTGCCCTGGTAGAAGGAGAGCTCCCGACTCTGCAGATGTCCATAAGTAGGAGAGTGAGGAGGTGAGTGAGGAGGAGAGTGAGGAGAGTGAGGAGGTGAGTGAGGGGAGTGAGGAGAGTGAGGAGGTGAGTGAGGAGGAGAGTGAGGAGGTGAGTGAGGAGGAGAGTGAGGAGGAGAGTGAGGAGGTGAGGAGGTGAGCGAGGAGGAGAGTGAGGAGGAGAGTGAGGAGGTGAGTGAGGAGGTGAGCGAGGAGCGGTGAGGGGCAGGGAAGGCTGTGTGGCCTGAGTGTGGTGTGCCTCACTGCGGGCAGCCAGGCCTGGGAGTCCTCCAGGTGAGGAGGTGGTTGTACCTGAGGCCAGGTCCTCTCTGGCAGGACAGCTGCCTTCAGAAGCCTGGGGGCCCTCTGGCAGCCCTGAGGCACTGGGGGACCGTCTAATGGACCAGAGCCAAGGGCTCAGGAGAAAGGGATGGAGGGAGGGCATGGGAAGCCGTGGGACATCCCTGGGAAGGAGGGCAGGCATGGGGTCCACTGGCCAAGTGCTTCCCGGCGTGGCCTGTTGGCGCCTGAGGAGAGAGACCCGGCTCCTAGAGCACCCATCAGGGCTCCTCCATGTGCCTCCTCATTGGGGTCTCCTTTCCCATGGGAGGGACGTGGGTGTGGGGCGGGCGACGGGCCTCTCCTGGCCGTGTGGACACCCCCACCCAGAGGGCACTGAGCGCAGTCTTGCCGGGAGCCACTGATTCTGTTGGCTTTAGCTCGTCCAACGAGCGGCTGAGCCTTGGGACCAGCGCCCAGCGTCAGGGAGCAGGCCAGGCAGGCCCGTGCTTCGAGGGCTTAACARAGATGTGCCGCCCAGCTGAAGCCGMGTCCCGAGGGGAAAGRAAGGGAGCTTGGCTTCTGKGCTCTCTCCTTCCAAGGCCCAGTGGCTACCGAGCAACAGATGGCCAGGTGGTGGCACTGTCATGAACCTGCCAGGGGTGTTGGGCTCAAACCCCAGGTCTACACAGTGGCTCTCTGACGATGCCCGCTTCTCTCCCTGGCCAGGGAGCCCCAGGAAGCCTCCGGCTCAGGGGGACAGGAACAGGCCGTCAGGTTCCTGTCCACGGTGGCATGCTCTTGGACCACTGCTTAAGACAGCTCAAGTACACCCAGATTAACCACAGGGCTCTGGGCACATCCCAGCCACTCCCTCGCCCTACACTTGCTGCGTCCCCTAAAGACACAGCAGRACACTTCTGTGAAGATGCACGATGTTTCCTGCTTAGAAATACAAGAKGAGCTGAGAAGTACTTACCCACGCAGCGTAAAGAAACCACTGTGTTTGAGGAGCAGCTATCACTGAAAGAGAAGGGGGAATTCTGTCACCTGATAAAGGAGGAGATGCCTGGCCCACAAATACTCAGAAATGAGATTTCCTCCCCCTGTTGTCTTTCCTGTCCCCCCAGAACTAAAGTGTCCACCCCTGAAGGCTTCAGAAAGACRACTAGATCTATAAAAGGGACAATTTTTAAAAGGGTGTCCCTGAGTCAAWGTACCAGGTCAAATCTCGGCTGTTCAATACTGAGCAAGTTCCTTAAACCTCCTGTTCCTAAATTCCTCACTGGAAAAATCACATGATCACGCAGGTTGAGCATCCCTCATTTGAAAACTGAAATCAGAAATGCTCCAAATTCGAACCTTTTCAAACAACTCCTTGGGAGCACAGTGGAAAATTCCTCGGCMTCTGACCCCATGGGATGGGTCACCGTCCAAGGCAGGCCTATCAAAACTGTCACCTCAAATCACCCTCAGCCTAGGTGCCCAAGACACAGACAACTCCATGGGTTTGGGGAGTAGACTGTGACCCCGTCCTCAAGGGGATCACTGCAGACATGCAAAGATTCCAACTGGGAAATCTGAAATGTGGATCATTGTGGTGCCAAGCTTCTCAGACAAAGGTACGCAACGGGCAGGGCCAATCCAGCTGGCCGGGAGGGGAGGCCYGCGGAAGTGATGGTGTCCCTTTTGTTCTTGGAACCCAGGCCACCTGCTAGTGACAGGAGGCTATTCACTGGGAAACGTGCCTTCAGATGGTGGCACCGTGTGTGCCGAAGGCAATATGACCCATGCTCGGCCTGGCAGAAGGAAAGAGCCACTTGTCCAGAGTCCACGTCCTTGGTTGTGGACGACAAAGTAAGAAGGGGTGCCTTCCATCCCTGTCCAATRGAGAACGGTCCCCATACACTGAGGAGGGGCCCTCAGGCCGGGACACCAGAGCTGCGCCAGCACTGACCACTGGGTGTGGGTTCCATTGGACAAAGTCTGTTTTGCAGTGACCAGACCACTCTGACGGACACGGAGCAAGACACTCACCCCTGCCACGACGTGTCTAGACGCGGCAGGGACCTTGCCCAAGGCACACACATGAGCCGGCCTGGGAGGCTGGCAGCCACAGTGTCACCGACACAGCCTGAGCCTCGTGCGTTCCAGCTCCCTGGGAGAACCGCACCAAAGGCAGCGCGTCCCCGAACCCCACACTGCCTGGCACTGCCCCAGCCTAGAGCCGCCCAGGTGCCCGCCAGGTGCCCTGGCCACGACAGCTGTGAGGCACCAGAGAGGCCACACAGAGGCAGACTCCTGCTAGAGGGAGACGCTGCCTGAGGACCCTAAGGTCCACGGGTGCCACCACGGCCAGCAGCACCTGGGAACACCATGGTTGTTCAGGGGACCTGGCAAGGAGCTACCCTGGAGACTCAAGCATCATGGGCAGCTCCGAGGGACCCCACCTGAGCCTGCCGGGCCGACGGGCGACACTCTAGACAATGACCTTCTCTTCTTTCCTCCAAGCCTGGCAGCCACCTTTCGAGTTCCCAGGGCTCTTGCCAAGGGACGGCAGCTTCTCCCCTCCCCTGCTCTGCCYGCCCCCGGGTGCCTGGCTTTTCCTGGCTGCCTGACTTCCGTGTAAGGGAGGAACACAAAGAACCGCCGGCATGTGCAGAGCAGGCAGCTGTGTTTGGCCCCGCTGTGTGGACAGTCCACCTGGCCTGCAGGCGCAGCCCTGCCCCGGTCCCAGGACAGCGAGGCTGCGGCAGAGGTCAGCGCCCCACCCCACCTTGGACAGAGCCACCAGCCACACACACCAGTGCCCACCTCCACACAAGGAGAAGTGGGTCACCTCGGAACTGCAGCCTAGGTGACAGCGAACCCCTGGGGACAAGTGACAGGACCTGGGGGTGAGAAACCTCATGTGCAAAGCACACTGCACCCTCCAGGATGACAAGTGTTCTGATAAGAGCAGGGGCCTGCAGGGGACTGGCAGAGGGGTGGCCAGTCCCTCCCTGCCCTCCTGGCCAGTGCAGCCGCTGTTAGTGACTGCCCTGGAGCTCCCTGCCACCCATGGCACCCACCGTGACCTGCCCAGGGTCACAGCTTAGCCTTGGGGTGCAGGAAATATTTGCTAAATGAAACTAGCCACCTGTGCCTGGCCCCAGCTGTGACGGACCCGACCCTGAGATGTTATTCTCGTGGATTCCTACCTATGGACTAAATGTGATCTGTCCCCAGACTCATCTGGAGCCTTACGTTAGTGGCATTAAGAGGGCAGGAACTTAATCCAACTATGGTGTTTAAAGATGGGGCCCTTGGAAAGTTTAGATGAGATGAGGTTGGGGTGGAACCCCAGGCTTTAAACCTGGTGGCTGTATAAGGAAGTGGAAGGAGACCCACAAGACAGGTGCTCCCCTCGTGAGGTGATGTGGCGCAAGGTGCCCTTGCCAGAGCCTGTGCCACACTGTTTGGACCTTCTACTTCTAGAGCCATGAGCCAAAATAAATCTCCAGTCTTTATAAAGTAGTCTGCCTCAAGTGTCTTGTTATAGTAACGAAAAGGTAACAAATGCATATTCCCTAGCATATGTACGTACACCTCTGGTACCTGGAGAATGAAAAAAAATCAACTACCAATAACAGGGCGGACAGCAGAGGTCACAAGCAAAATGGCAAATAAGTGTCCATCTCTTCCCAAGAACAAATCTGGAGCAGCCTGTCCTACTTAGCTTCCAACCTCTTCCCAGTGTGGAACTCATCCACACCCAGAACAGCAGCTTAGAGAGATCAACTTGGGACAGTGATGCCCGGGGGTCCCCTGTCCTCATCGCCACCCTCGACAAGGGAAAAACACCTGTGGTAGAGCTTTTTATAGAGGTCGGYGGTGCCAGCACTCGCGTTCAGCTTCATGAAGCTCGCGGCACCGCTGTCGTCCGCGATCCCCCGCGTGGAATAAAAGCTGTTCCTAAAAAACAAAAGCCTACGTAAACAGCGGTCACCTCAGAAGCCGTCACAAGTCCTCGTCCCAGGCAGCACTTCCAAGCCGTCCGCCGGCAGAGGTGACGCTTTCCTGCCGGATGGGACCTCGCTCTGGAAACTGGCAGGGGACATACCCTAGGACAGCCGAGGGCCACAGGGCTCCCCGGGAAGAGAAGGTGGCCACAGAGCGCAGAGCCTTCCCCGCCCCGAGGGCCGCCCTGCCTCCCCAGGGATCCAGGTCCATGTCCTCCAAGCCCACGTTGAGAGGTGTCCCTGGGGTAAGTGTCCAGGGGAGGGGGGACCTGGAAGGGGCATGGGAGTCAAAATCCTCCCTGGCAAAGGGACTGATGCCTACTGGGGGGGGTACTCCTCCTGAGGGTGGCTGTTGGGGACCAACCCCAGCCTCGGTGTCACCCTCTGTCTCACAGGAGCACACTTGCCCATCCGCTTTCCCACCCGGAGCCAACTGGCCCAGGCCCTCTCCAGGTGCTGGCACCATGGGGCACCATGGTCACACTTCCGAGCCTCCAGGACATGAGCCAAAATAACCCTCTACTCTGTACAATTACCAGGCTCAGCTCTTCTGTTACAGCAGCTGAGAACACTAAGACACTGGCCATGCTGCTGAGCCCTGGCCGCGAGTCCCAGCSTGGGACACTCCCTCCTGACCAAAGCCCTCAGTGGCTCCCGGGGGCAGTGAGAGCTGCCTAGGATCCGCCAGGCCACTGCCAGCCCAGCCGTCCTGGCCCTGCTGCAGCCGGCTCCCACCTGGAGAGGCGAGCCGAGCAGACTCCGCGCAGGCTGAGCGGCTCCTCCAGAAAAGAGCCACCCGAGGCCCTCGGCCTGCACCCCTGCCCGGGCACCACGGCCCCRGGGATCATTCCTGAGTCGCAGGGTCTACAGCGGCCAGGGAGCTGAGGCGGTGGCCGTGGGCCGGGCTCACTAGACACAGGGGAGGGCGAGCTCTGGAGGCCCAGGTCCACCTCCCCATACATGGACCCGCTTCRGGAGGTGACCATGGTCTCCAGCACCTTCCCAGGAGGCGAAGACTGTCTGTCCTAAGACTCTGCCGTCGGTCACCATCTCCACGTGGGGCCGCCCCCCGGAGGCACCAGACTCACTTATAGCCCATGTCCTTGCAGGCCGCCCTGGCGAAGTGCTCATTCCAGTCATCCTGGCACACGGGGTGCCAGGCCTGCCGCTCCGGCGAGTAGACCTGGAGGATGAAGTTGGGTCCGTAGAGGCGAACTGCGTGAGAAGAGAGCTCTCCTGGGTCCCAGGCCACGGCACCRACCCAGGTGATCCCCTGCCACCGGCGTCCCGCCACCTGACCCGGGCAGCTCTCCTCGGGCACTCACGAAGGGGRCCACAATTCTACGCAAGAGAACTGGACGGGGTGTTCAGACACATTCTCACATAAGTGCTCACTGCCGCACCGTCCACGACAGCCCAAAGGGGGCAGCCCAGTGTCCAGCAAGGGAGGACAGGGCAGGCCCAAAGTGTGCGGCGGACTGACATCTGCTGCAGACGGGAAGGAAGTTGTGACCCTGCCGCGGCGTGGGCGACCCTGAAGGCAGTGCCCTGCCTAAGAGGCCAGTCCCAATGGCCCAGAGATGGCCTGAGACCGCTAGGAGCCATCGCGTGGAGGAGGAGTCTAGGAAAGCCAGCCCCTCAGAGTGGGAGGAAGGAGGGCAGGGGGCGGCAGGAGCCCAGGAACCACGTTCTCCATCGATGGTGGATCCTGCAGCTGCAGATGTGTAAACACCAGTGCACTGTCCACCTCACGAAGATGATTGTGAACTACAGCTCAATAAAACTGGGCTTAAAAATAAAGAAATAAGCTGGGCGCAGTGGCCCACGCCTGTAATCCCAGTGGCTTGGGAGGCTGAGGCAGGAGGATCGAAAGATCAAAGTCAGCCTCAGCAAAAAGTGAGGGGTTAAGCAACTCAGTGAGACCCTGTCTCTAAATAAAATACAAAATAGTTTTGGGGATATGGCTCAGTGGCCCAGTGCCCCTGGGTTCAATCCCCAATGGCCCCAAAATAAATAAATAAGACAGAGGGTGAAAATTAAGTGTTCTTTAAAGAACTAGCTGCCCTCTTGGTGTCCAGGCCCTGGGCTCTGCAGAGCACCCAGTGTGGCGACAAGGACCTRGCATCTAGGGGACTTGAAGTGCCTCCAGATTAATGACCTTGGCCTTGCAGTTTAAAGAAACTGGTCAGCTTTGGGGCACAGTGGAAGCCCTTCCCTGTCTGGCCCATCCCCCTGGAGTGGCACACCTGGAGCCCCGGGAGCCCTTGGTGGGGTGGAATCTCGTGAGAAGGACTGCTGGGTGGGTCGTGGGTCATCAGGAACAACCCTGAGGACAGTGCTGCATGAGACCCAGCAAGTCACGCTCCCAGTGCACAGTGAAGACGTGCCCAGTGTGGTGTCCACTCCGACGTGACACTGTTCCTCACAAACAGAAAGTGGCCATTGAGCCTCGAAGGAGACTTGGACACAGCGCTCAGTGCATGAAGCCCATCTGAAAAAGCCCTCAAGCTCCTGGGCCCGGGACATTCCGGAAGGGCAGAGCCAGAGACCAATGGGGCCAGAGCTTCCAGGGCTCCACCCCAGGGCAGCCTATTCCGGAGGACGCCACAGTGGCCAGCACGCCGCACTATGCTTCCGTGGAAACCCACATGCTATGGGGCGAGTCCTGGACTCAGTCACCACCTGCTTCCCTCTGGGCCTTCTGTGAGCCCAACGCTGCCGGGAAAACAAAGTCACGGGTTCCTTAGAAGGAACCGGACCTAACGTAGCTCCACAGGTACAGGTGGAGCTGCCCCTGCAGAGTGAGGGAGACCTGAGGGTCCTGCCTCCTGGGGGTCCCAGGCTGCTCCCTCCCCCAGCCATCCACATGCGGACCAGCGGGAGCTACAGTGGGCGAGGGAGGGGGAGCTGGACAAGCCTCCAGTTTGTCTGTTGCTCTTCCTTTTAGGAACTAGGGATTTTTCCAGCTTTACCAAGGTCTAAAGGACAAACACTGAGTGTGTTCTGGGGTGCACCGTGAGGATTGGATTCCCGTGTCTGCCATGAGAGGGTCACCAGCAGCGCTCACACCCCCATGCCCCTTGCCCCAGAGGCATGAGGGTGAGAACACGGAGACAGCCCTCTGAGCCCGTCCCAAGGGCACCACATTCGCCGCTAGCTGCAGTCGCCGCTGCCACTCTGCAGTTTCTCTTCCAGCATTCCCAGGAAGACTGGCGGGACAGCAGGGGAGAGAGCCGACCACTGCTGACACACTTACACGCGCACCTTGCACAGAAAGCTCCGTGCGTGGGGATGGGACGTCCTTCCAGGTCAGAGCCGACCCGTGGTGAGAACCGCCTGCTCTAGGAGCAGGACAGTGCAGCCGTCTCCTCCCAATGAGAAGTCCACGTGGACCTGGGAGAATGGCAGGGAGGAGCCATACACGGCAGCACGCGGAGCCCGGGCCGGCATCCCATGTCCTGCGTGTGCTGGCAGGCCTGGGGCACTGCTGCTGCGGCTGGAGCCGGGGACAGAGCCCTCCTTTCACCAAGAGCCTTCCTTCCCTCTCCTAAAGGGGGAGGAGGCAGCCCTTCTGGGGAAATGAGGCAGCACTGCACCCGCTGCAGAGCCCAGGAGACATGGCGTCGGAAGAGACCACGCCTGGATCTCCCTGCCCACTCATTCAACCCAGAACAGGAACCCGGGGATCGGCAGCAAACCTTGGTGCCACGGCACCTGGAGAGGCCCACAGAGATGAGCACCGCGGGCTGGAGCTCTGACCCTCACACTCAGGCAGCCACCAACTGCCCTTGAACCCACCTCCACGAATCAACAGGAGATAGAGAGAGTCTCAGCTTAAAACCACAGTGAGATGAAACGTTGCTGCCATGAGAACAGCTGTCACCAAAGAGGAAGAAGAGGAAGATGACGGGGCCAACAGCCAGGCAAGGACAGAAGCCCTCGCTCCTACCTGCGTGAGCGCCAACAGGAAGGGCCACGGGGAAGCTGCTGGGCACCTCGAAAGAGCATCGGCAGAACTACTCTGTGACCCAGGGCCCAGGTCCAGGGGAGAGACGGCCACACCTCCGTCCAGCACTGCCCTGTGCACCACGCCCACACGTGCAACCTGCCCACGTCCACCGGGAGATGGACGGGTAAAGAACTCGGCAGGCCCCACGCAGCCTTGAGGGAAGGGCAGCCGGCTGTGCGAGATGCCAGTGCAAGAAGCCACACCTGTTCTCACTTGTGCAGGGGTGAGGAAGTCGGGCTCAGGGGAGCAGAATGCACAGTGACGGTGGCCACAGGCTGGGGCAGGGGGGGACGCTGGCCAAGGGAGACGCGGCCTCTATTAGACAGGAGGAGCCCCTTGGAGAGCTCTAGGGGGCAACCTGGCAACTCGGCTGGCAGAAGGTCGTGTGTTTGAGAATCACTGAGAGCAGATCTTCAGAGATCTCCCCGCAAAAAAGGTGAGTACCCCACAAGGTGATGCCRTGGGGTGGCCTGGGCAGCCATTCTGCGGGTGTCCCTACGCCACAGCAGCCCACTGCACACCGTGAATGTGGCACGGCTTTAACTTGTTAATCGACAGACCAACAATGGAAAATGAAGCAAACCCAAGTGCTCACGTGTGACAAAAGACGTTAAAGGCAGCTTCTCTTAAAGCCACACAGTGACCCCCAACTTCACATTTTAAGCAGCTTCTGGGYTTTCCACTGTGGCCCTTGGCCTTCGTCTGCAAGCACAGGGGTTTGAAGGCAGTCTCGCGGGCCCTGCCATGGACCTCCCACCCTGCTGTGTGACGCTGGGCCACGAGGACAGCCCTTCTGAGGCCAGGCTCATCCTCAAGACGGGGACAGAGCTGGCTGGTCACCCCTGGCCCAGGCAGAGCTGCCGCTTCCCAGGGCCAGAGCCGCTCACCACACTGGTTCTCGTCCTCGCCGTTGGGGCAGTGCGCGATGCCATCACACCAGAAGAAGGGGCTGACGCACGTCCCCGAGGAGCCACACTCCATCTCGTGCGCGGAGCACTTGTTCTCCACTAGCAGAGGAAACAGAGGCGGGAAGGAGACCGTCAGCTGAGGACCAAGGGGACCTCACGGAGCCCAGAGGAGCRCCATCATCCACCCTGGAGCCCGTGAATAAAAAAAAAAAATAGCTCCCCTGATTTTTAGTAAGTAGGGAATGTGTCCTTGTCACCAGCATGCACCAATGGAATTATGGCTGGATAGGGCGTGTCCACAAGGCCAATAGGAAGCCTCCCAGGGGACTTCAGGGACCCACAGAGCCCCCCATGTCTCCACTGCCCCAGGGTAAAGGCAGAGACAGACACCCTGCTGCCCGCGGTGCAGGGCGGGAGCAGCCACCGTTACCCAGTGAACATAGTGACCAGGGTTGGCCCCAAGGAGGGGGCCAGCTGTGCTCACAGAGCTGGTGCCACCTTGCTCTGGCAAATTCTAACTGTTCCTCCTGTGGTGTGTCCAAACCACAGAAATGGCCCGGGATTGCTGTGACCCACAGGCTAAGAGGAAGCCCACAGCCAGGTGGGACCCATGAGATGGGCTGCTCCCAGGACCAAACCATGAGAAGGAAGGTGCAGGCCCCAGTCTCGGAGGGGCCTTGAGGCCTCCCCAGCCCAGGCAGCAGGGTCACCCTGTGCCCAGGACTGCAGGAGCCATGGCTGAGAGGTGGCAGCCGGCCCAGGGGGCTCTCTGAACTTACAGAACTTCCAGGCCAGGACAGCAGCTATCACAGTGACCACAAGGAAGGTCCCGAGGACAAGAGTGACACACAGGACTTTCCTGGCCCCTGCAGGAAAGAGAAAGCAGGACACCTGGTGAGCACTGGCCCTCCCCCTCCCCCAGCACGTCCCAGTCCTGACGCTCCTCCACCAGCACCAGGGCCACGTGGAGCCTGCCAGGCCCTCCCTCGAGCCGGAGTGGCTCAAGGTGACAGTACACTGGACACACGGACCTGCCCGCCGTCTGGCCGGGCCTCATTCGCCTTAAATGCACTCCGAACACCTTCAGCAGCCTACGGCTGGCCGAAACCACGTGACCCAAAGCCCATTTCTAATGGAACATTGAACATCCCGTGCAATTTACTGAACCCTGGGCAGGGCACAGCAGACGGCTTCACAGGTTTACCTTCCCACCGTCATACGATCAAAAACCAAAGTTGGACCGAGCTCAGTCAGGGCCGCCTGACCACCCGAGGAGGGAGCCCTGTTTCCTCAGGAGCCCCACACGTGCCGGCAAGCTTCCTGCCACTAAGAGACACTCCCAGCCTAAGAAATAGTGGGTTTATACACTTAAAAATGTGAGTTGACRTTGGAAGAACAATGTGTCTCGGGGCCTGGCTCCTTCCATAGCAAGAAACGTCCTGCTTTTTGGAGAGCAGAACCTCTGGTGAATGAAGCCCACCCAGCCTTAAAAACTCTGCTCCCTAAAAAGGGTCTTCAACTAGGCCAATGATGAATGGGAAAAACAGAGAGGAAAAGACCTCATTTCAGTAATGAGGAGCCTGAGCCAAGTGACAGTGTCCCCCACTGTCATGGCCCCAGGAGAGGCACCCAGGGCAGAGGAACYGGTCTTCCCCAAGGCTGTTTGGAGAGCTGATCACGTGCACCACCTCTCCCACTAGACAGCTTCCTGCTGCCTGTGGCTTCTTATGTTGCAGTTCATTAAATTTAAATGGAATTAAATAAAAGTATGTAACTCCAAGCACTTAGTAGTCACAGTGGCCAGTGGCTACCATACTGGACAGGGCGGGCATAGAACATCCCCATCACCACTGAAAGTGCCCATCACACAGCACCAGCTTACACCCTTGGGCGAAAGGGCAGAATACAGGCCCACTGCAGCTAAGAATAAAGTCATTTGAAGAAGGTCACCAGTTTACTCTGGACAAAACAAAAAGAGGGCATTTTTTGTCAGAGGTGTGAACCAAAGTTTGCTTCAGAGTTTGGAACAGCCGGGCTCAGTGGCGCACGCCTGTAATCCCAGGGACTCCGAAGCTGAGGCAGGAGGATCATGAGTTTAAGGCCAACCTCAGCAATTTAGCGAGGCCCTAAGCAATTCAGTGGGAACCTATCTCTAAATTAAATATAAAMAGGGCTGGAAATGTGGYTCAGTGGGTTAAGCACTTCTGACACCAAAAAAAAAATCCTAACATAGTGCCAAATACCATGAAAGCACCCTGCCTCCAGACATCTGTCCCTTATGCTGGGCTAAGGAGGGTGCCCAGCCGGTCACCTCCAGCAGTTCCCATGCGGCATGCAACCTCAGACTCTGGAGCTCCCAGAAGCTTTCTTTGAAAGAAAGGAAGAGAGGTGGGGGAGATTTGATGAGAAGGTATCTATTTATTCATTCATTCATTCATTCATTCCTTTTGGTGCCAGGGATTGAACCCAAGGGCACTTAACCACTGAGYCAAATCCCCAGCCCTCTTTTATTTTTTATTTTGAGACAGGGTCTTACTAAGTTGCTTAGAGACTCACCAAGTTGCTGAGGCTGGCTTCAAACCTTCCATCCTCCCGCCTCATCCTCCCAAGCTGCTAGGATTATAGGCGTGTGCCACCGTGCCCAGCAAGAAGGCATTTAAGCAGACCCTGCCGGGCTGGTCAGGCGGTGTCCCCTGCTGCCCTCACCTATATGCTCCTGGGCTTCCAAAAGTCAGTCAGAGCAAGAAATTAAGGTTTTGGAGTTGGAGAGCCAGAGAGGCCCACCTGCTGGGGTCAAAGCCACTCCTCCCTTCTCCTCACCACATCCTGCGGATTCTCCAAAGGCTCTCAGGCAGTAACAGACTTAAGAACTCCCTGAGGATCTCGTCCACAGTCACCAGAATTTCTGATTCACATCTGGGAAGTTGCACTCCTCACAGGTACGGCCCAAGCCGCTGGCCTGAGAACTGCGCCCAAGCAAAGATCTAATCAAAATCTGGCTAAAGGTGGCCGTGCCTCAAGGTGGCAGGGTAGAGCCCAAAGGAAGTTCACAGGAGAAATTCCAAATGRCCTCTTGGACCCATGACCAAGAACACTCCTCTCCTTGGATGACTCCCCTGAATGCCATTGTATCCAAGATAAAATAACTTGCTGAGGCTGGGGGTGTCGCTCAGTGGTAGTGGCTGCCCAGCAGGCACGAAAACAAGGCCCTGGCTTTCATCCCTGGTCTGGTGAGTTAGGGTCATCACACCAGGCGTCTTTCACCTCCCAGTGAGGGTGGCAATGTGCCARGTCTCCCCGGGGACCCGAGCACAGTCGGAAGCCTCAGCTTTACCTCTGGATGGGGATCTGCCCCAGTGCGAGGTCAGCTAGACTCGCCTCGGTCCTGGTTTGCAAAGGCTGCTGCGGAAGGGTTCGCTGGACCTACCATTCACCTGCATTAATCATTATCGAGTGGCCTGTGGCTGGCCCTGCCCTGCAGCTTCCAGAGTCAACTATTTGCATCACAGGATTGTTGACCTTTGATTTTCCAAACAGTCTTTCAGATGTATACGTGCTGCTGTGCCAATGGAAACTCGTATGGCTGCTGCTAGAACAATACATGTGTGTGTGTGTGTGTGTGTGTGTGTGTGTGTGTGTGTGTGTGGTGCTGGGGACTGAACCCAGGGCCTTGTGCATGTGAGGCAAGTACTCTACTAGCTGAGCTCTCTATCCTCAGCCCAAAAAACCAAAAACAAAGTTCTATGTTCTCCAGATGGGGTACTTCTGGGTTATTACTTAAATCACTTGGAAAATAGTCTCAAAGCTGAAGATGACACTTACAAAATGTATATCATCTCTTGTGTTATATGTACTCACATTTCTTTAAAATAAAACCAAGGTGAGTTCAATAAATAATAAGTAAAAATTTTAAAGGAAGAAAATTACCTTGCCTGCACAAGGCCCTGGGTTCAGTCCCCAGCACCACAAAAAGAAAAAAAGAAAAAAAATTACTAAATTATTTTTGAGTTTATGGAGCACAGTTTCTATAAATACATACACGTAAAGAGGTAACCTGCTCCAGTCCCTTTCTGTCACCCCCTGGGTTCTCCCTTGGAAAGTGAGAGTATTTGGCTAGGGGGACCAGGGGCCCTCTGCCTTCCTGGCTGACCACTGTTGGTGTGAGACCACCTTTGGAGGTGCTGACCTCACCCGCAGCCCGATGGCTTGTGTGTGTCTGTGTGTGTTACTGGGGGTCGCACCAGGGACAGGGCCTCCGTAAGTGGCCCAGGCTGGGCTTGAACTCATGATCCTCCTGCCTCAGCTCCCAAGTAGCTGGGGTCACAAGCATGTGCCCCTTGACCCTTGACAGTCAGCAGGTTCGACCGAGGTCCCCAGGCCTCTTCACCCTGGCTTCCTTCCAACCCCCACGACGGACACCCAAGCCTGGGCACTGTCCACCTCGGCACAACTGACACTGTGGCCTGGTGGCCTTTCTCTTGGGGACCCTCGTACCCACCGCAGGTGTTCAGGAGCAGCATGGGCACCAACCCTCGATGCCAGTAGTGTCCCCTCCCTACTTTAACGACCCAAACTCTGCAACACTGTCAACTGCCTCTGAGGGCCAAAGTCACCCCTGTTTGAGAACCACTGGTCTCGACATACCCAACCCCCTCCAGAAGACCTCGGGCAGCGACAGACATTGCTGTGGGCAGAGGGGCACAGGGTAGGCGTGGTAGGGGAGGGATGCCAGGCTGAACAGGGCAGAGCTGGAGGGAAGGAAAGACACAGGGTGAGGGGTGACTGAGGCCAGCGGGGGGCAGAGTGACAGCTCTGGACCGGAGCTGGAAGGCCTGGGAGGGCAGGCAGGGCTCCCTGAACTGAAGGGGGTGGTGTTGCCCCTGATCCTGTGCAGGTGGCATGGAAGTCCATCCTTTATCTCCCTTTCACTCTGCATTCTGTACAGACAGGGATGCCTACGCCAAGACCAGAAACAGGCTCCACCCAAAAGCTTCCCAGCAGAGCTTCCTCTGCACTGTCCAGCTGGGCAGGCTCCAGCCCGAGGTCCAGGAGGGAAAGGTGAGGAGAGACGCCAGACACTGAAATGGCAGGGCAGAGAAGATGGCCCGCCGCCCCACCCCCCTCTGCCCTCCGCCCCTGGGCACTGGGGCTTCAGGCCAGGAAAGGAGGTGGGGTGTGGTGCAGCTCCTGCTCACCCCCCACCCACCCCCAGGTCGCCTTCCCTGAACACCAAGTCACAGGGCGTCTTGACCTTGACCTGCTGTGCGGCAAGTCCCACCCTGGGGAGCCACCATTTTCTCAAAACAACACATCAATAAACCTGAGGCCAGAATCCACGAGAAGCTGGTTGGGAAAGACCCCCGAGGCAGAGCCCGGGGCGGCGGTGGTGGTCTCTCAGGTGGCAGGGAGACCTGGAGTGCGCAGCACTGAGCGGCAGGACAGGGAAAGGCGGGTGGCCGGTGGTGGAGGCGTGACAGCCTGCTAAATGGCAGAAAAATACAAAAAGGGTCCTACTTGTGGTACACACTGTCCCCGGAGGGGGCTTGGGCTGCCGGTAGATGCCAGGTGTCGAAGTGTGCGTGGGGACCCTGGAGGTGTACTGGGGCACCGGGGACGGGTAGTACTGAGCTGGATACGCAGCGTAGACATTGGGAGCCACGGCCGGCTGCGATGGGTAGAGGGCTTCGGGTTGGTATCCGTGGTTTTCATAGTAAGGCCCGACGCTCGGGGACGGCCCCTGAACAAGTGAAAAGAAAAATGACATAAAGCTGTCACTGATCCTAAAGGGCTGAGTACACGCCTCAGGCCCCAGTCCCAGGGCCCTGCAAGGCCACGCAGACATGCCCGGTGTCTATGATTATACCAGTTTACTTAGAAAACCAGATGCCAATTCCAAACTAACCATTCTCAGCTGTCAACGTTGTTTTGTTTACTATTTATTTTGCAATAAAGAAAAGGTGGCTGACATTTACAGAAAAAATGTACAGAAGTGTGGGATTAGAACCCATGGGACCCACATCCTCGACCTGTGATTCCTCGGGGCCTCTCCTTGAGCCCRGAGCTGCGACATTAGGAACCAGTGATAATCATCTTCGGCTTAATCATCTTGGGTTTGAGAGCTCGCCTGCTGCCAGGCCTCGGGACCCATCACCTCTTTGAAACCTGGGCACCAAGCCGGGGGGCGGGGGGGGGCAGGGCACAAGCTCCACTCTGCACACCCCTTGCAGAACAGGGTCAGAGTGGACAGAGCTGCCCAGAGGCAGCCTCTGCTGGTGACTTTGGGGCTCCTCTCCTGCCCTCCCCTCCTGCAGAGCTGCCCCCTTCCTACCACCTCCCCAGGCAGCCTAGAGCTGCACCGCACCCTCCAGCCGCCCTGCAGCAGAAGCTCTGGTGCTGGTGTGCACATGCACAAATGCCAAGGAACAGCCCAGACACACCACGAGTTTCTGGCTCCTTCCTTCAGCTGGTGTCTCTCTTCTCAGAAAAACTTCTSTTCCCCTGTCCCCACTTCAAAGCCACCTCCTCAAGACCCACCTCACACAGGGCACACGGGACCCCACAGCCTGCTTCTCCTCTTCCTTCAACTCCCTCTAGTGCTGATGGCTGGGCCTCTCCTTGGATGCCACCTTTGTCCTCTTGTCTGTGTCCCAAGGTCCCCAACTCCTGCCCCTTGTCACTTTGGGCCACAGAATAGCAGAGGGGTTGTCCTCCAAGGACAGGTGTCCTCAGCAGAGGCCACTGAAGGCTTAGGATTTTAAATGGGGCCTTCAGGGAACGTGAGTGTGAGCACAGGAGCAGATGCCACTCCCAGTTAACCTGCGCTTAATACCCACTAAAGCCACCTACAAAGGTCCAAAGATTGCTACTCCACCGGAGCAGTGACAGAGATGGAGAGACAGGCCATCCCTAACCTAAATACGGGCACCAGAGGCATGGAAATCAGCCAAGAGCAGCTGGCCTCAGCCCCAACCATTGAACATGCCACTCCACCCAGGGGGGTGCATGTCACCAAGCACTTAGTCCAGGAGGATTCCAGTGCATTGGTTCTGACACTAAAAAGGGATCCAATAAAAAAGTAAATACCAGTAACCAGGAGCCAATAAAGGGGGATAGACCAATAAARGTATATTTCCCTAGAGAATTCAGATTTTTTTTTTTTTTTTTTTGGTACCAGGGATGGAACCCAGGGGCACTTAACCACGGAGCCACATCCCCAGCCCTTTTTTATATTTTATTTAGAGACAGGGTCTCACTGATTTGCTTAGATCTCGCTAAATTGCTGAGGCTGGCTTTGAACTGGTGATCCTCCTGCATCAGCCTCACAAGCTACTGGGATTACAGGAGTGCACTACCGCACCTGGCTCAGAAAAATATTTCCACTAACCATAATGTCTTTGCTAAATGCACTTATTTCAGGCATAATAGGAACCCGTGAGATCTGCTGAGAACAGAGACCGGTGAAGAGTTTCCCAGGGCCAGGAGAGAGACAGTCCACCCAGCACCTCACTCCTACACAAGTGTCTCTGGGGCACCAGGAAGCTCTCTTCCCAGGACTCACCTGCTGGCCCACCCTGCTCACCTGTCTACACACCTGGCGCCCCCCCCCACCAATTGTGAAGGCAGGAAGTGGGGAGGTCAAAGCCAGGGTGCGCACCTGGGCTCCTACCAGCAGCAAAGGCTTTCCAGACCCCTCTGGCAACTCTGGGCTCTGCCCCAACTCAGCCTTTCTAGACAAGGCCTTGAAAGCCCTGCACACAGCCACGGGGGCCCACAGGCAGCCCTGAAAAGCACTGACCCACACCTGCTCTTGGGAATAACAGGAGGAGTGAGGACCAGGAAAGGGCCAGAGAGGTAATGATTAACCACTTACTGAGTTTAAAGCCATCCTGATTTTATCAACAGCATTGGGTAAGGGTAGGCATCTGGATCGTTCAAGACGACCTGGAAGAAAAAATTACAAGACTGTAATGCCTCCATACAGGTTAGTTTTCAGAAGATAAATCTAGAAAAAACTGGAAGACTCTGGCAAAAGGAACCTCCTGCCAGAACAAACTGAAGTTCTGCCCATTGACCTTGATCCCTGACCTTCACCGGCCTCTTCTGCACCTCTCCAAACACAGCAAGTGGATGCAGAGGCTCAAGGAACCAGGGTCCCCCTCTGGGATGTGGACATGCMCTTGGGGCCAGCGGGTGCAGGGCAGGCAAGCAGCTTAACACTGCAGCCCAGAAAGGGTGACCTTGAAGAGGGAGGGACAGACTGAAGGACCCAGAGGGAAGGCCTCTCAGGCCTCCAAGCCCTACTGAACTCACATGGCTCCTTGCAGGGGACCATGACCTTCCCCTCATGTCACACCTACCCAAAGGAGAACAGTGGAATAAAAACAGGTAGGAATCACCACAAGGAAACTTCTAGAGCCATCAAGACCAGCAGAGGTTAGGGCAGACCCAGGAGGAGAAGACCCCGGCAGCTCCTGGCAGAGTCACTTCCGGAGGCGCTGGTGACTGAACCTGGCTGAAATCTCAGTGCCTCCTCCCCACACCGTTAGGTCGTGGGTTCAGTGCAGACTTGTGGGCACTTCCCGTGTCAGGCATGGCACCCACCAAGGGACAGGGGTGCAATCAGCTCCACCCTCCTGCAGGACACCCATGGGTGCCTGCCTGGGGCCAGCTGCCATGGAGCAGGTGGTCCCGACTAGTGCCACAGGCAGGCCACGTCTGATGTCTCTAAGTAAGTGACAGAGGCCCTCCCAAGTTTTAATAAGCAGATCCGTCTAACAGCTTCCACTAACACATCCACTCCGGTCGGTTACTGCCCCAGATCAAAAAAGAAAGAAACTGGAAGCTAACTAATTTGACCAAGTTCAAGATTAGTGTAGGTGAGAGAAAGCTATGGTCATTTCATGTGTAGCCTTGAGATGCCGTCAGCATAAAATTCTCTATTCTCCTTCAGTCTCATTGACACAGATTCTTTGCCTAAACCACCTTTACCAGGCTCCCAAACTCCAGTGCACTTCCCGGTAAAATGTGGTTTTAGCCGAGAACCCTGCTAAGTCAGGCTATCAGGAACCCCCACCTTGGATACCATCACCCTGGACACCAGAGCGCTTTCTTATCCTCCACACCCCAGAGGGTGTCTGGTCAGCCGGGCCTGCCTCCAGCAAGAAGCCTGTCGGGTCAGTTCAGCCAGAACCCCGCTCACCTGAAGTCTCGTCTCCTCTTAGTGACTTTCCTGCTAGGATCCTGTCTGCTTCTGGGCTGTAAGTTCCCACTTCAGCCTTGTGCTGGGAAAGAACCCAATGCCCCCCTCCCACTACAAGGCCCCTGCCCTTCCCCTGCTCTACTGAAGTGTCCTGAATCAAGCCCTCCTCGTCCTGATTTGACGAAGATCCTAAATCACTTTCTCTTAACATCCTGTTCAGTGAGGGCTTTTCTCTACTCTCCAGCTGGGCAAGATGGCCAGAGAATATTCTATGAAACCATCTTTGGGATCATCCTTCAGTAAGACAGTGCTCTGAATGAGGGTACAGGAGCCTGGAGCAGGTCTGGGCTTTGCTGGCCACATCAGAGGCTGAATGCTTTCACCTATAAGAGCCTGGCACTGGGTAGATACACAAACAGTGCAGGTGGCTCGTGTAGGTAGCCCATGACCTCTGGGACTAGACTCTCTGGATCCAAACCTAGCTCAGCCCCTCTCTAGCTATGAACTGGAGCAAGCTAGTTCATGGTCCTATACCTTGGTTCTCTCCCCTGCAAGTTAGGTGAGAGCAGTACCTACGGCACAGTAGTTGGGTCCCTGAGAAGTTCACACTAACCAGTTAGTGTGCTACATCAGTCTTTGTTAAAAATGACCACAGAGCCGGTGTAGTTGCACACGCCTGTAATCCCAGCAGCTTGGGAAGCTGAGGCAGGAGGATCACAGGTTCAAAGTCAACCTCAGCAATTCAACAAGGACTTTAGTAACTTAGCAAGACCCTGTCTCAACATAAAATAAAAAAGGGGGCTGGGGATGTGGCCCAGTGGTAAAGCACCCCTGGGTTCAATCTCCAGTACAAAAGAAAAAAAAACAAACAAACTGCTATTTTGTGGCATTTAGAATTTGCTTTTGATAAGTATCCCAAGCTAGTGGGTGACACAAAGCCCACCCAGTCTCAATTCACTGGAGCCAAATGCAGTGGACATCACTGCCTTCCCATCTCCTGGGCAAATCACCATCTGATCATCAAACAAGAAAAAAGAAAGACCGAGACCTCTGATGGATGAAAATAGGAGAGTCACTTCGAACAGGTCACAGCAAAAATGCACCAGCTCACTTATTTACTCTACATGAAGGGCCAGATCTTGTCAAGAGTAGCAAAATGTTTTTCAAGATTAAAAAGATAAAGTCAAGCCCTTCCTGGGTATGAGCAGAGAAAATCGGCGAAGGTGCAGGCTGCAGCACGGAAGGCTTTTCAACAGGTGGGCTGTCGCTTCAGCACGCCTGCCGAGTCCCCGAGGTGGAGGACCCTGAGGCTCCGGGCACCATGACCAGTCCTGCACCCCTGCCTAGGAAGCAGAATGAACTCAGCCCTTGCTAAGGTTCCTTTCAAAACAGTCCTGCCTAAGCAAACACGCGCCCCGCTCTGGTTTCTCGGCTCCCCGGCAGCCCCGCCCGCCCGCTGGGCTGTCTCGCCAGTTCTGGGATTGGTTGAAGTTTCAGGAAATGAGAATCTGATCGCGCTGGCGGCTTTCCCAGTTTAGGAGTCCTGTGAAAGGAAGGTGAGTCAATGCCCCAAATCCACACTTGCTATTCATCAGCGATCCCTAACAGTGGGAGAAGGAAGCCGGGAAAGGAAGGAACACTGGGAGCCAAGTGGTCTCATTAAAGCCACAGGACACAGAACAAGGGGAGAATCCTACCTCACCCAGGGATCCTGCCACCCAGGACACTGGAGCCAGCAGCGTGAAGTGCGCCCGGCTCGTTTGGCCACGGTGGACTTTGGAATAGAAGACCAGAGCGCTACCCGCCACCTCCTGAGGGTAGCCCTGTTCCCGCTACAGAGAAGTGGATCTGAAAGGGAGCGAGCTTCCCAGCTTCCCGAGAGACCCAGGGGGCTGCATCCATCCGCTCACCCTCAGAACGGGCTCCATTTCCACAGCCGCAGGAGGCAGGAGATTACAAATCGCATGAACCCGTTTCTGAAAGGAGCAGGATACACCCCAGGTGACAAGAGACAACCTGTTTAGCAGTCTTTCCTTCATTTGAAAGACAAGGACCATTGTTCCCTATTCTGGAAAGCCAGCTCTCAGGAGCACTTTGGGAAATTCTCCTTTAAGTGCAAGASAGCACATGAGGACAAAGGTCCCGACCCCCTCCTCGCTGGCAGCCAGTCCAGTGCCTCCCAATCAAGCAGCTGCCCTCCTGCTGCTCAGACCCACTGCAGTGTCCCTTCAGGGAGCCGAGGCACCTGCAGCACCTCTGCCCCACCTCGCACCTGGACAGTGCTGCCAGGATCCGACCTGCACCCCACGGCAGGCCAAAGCTGTTTCTAAAGGAGAACAGGTTTGTCTTATAGTTCCCGTCCTCTGCAGAGTTAGGAGCACATTTGCTGGAGATTTATTTTGAAAACCACCCAAAGCAAATGCAATCAGGTCCATGGGTGCTGACTTGGACCCAGGGTCAGGGGTGGTCCCTACAGATAAGATCACTACCCTCGCTACACGCCACCCAGCACCTGTGCCAGCACAAGTCCCCACAGTGTGCTGGGTACTGCTCAAGTTGCTGGAGGTGTGAGGGGTGCCACATCAACAGACACTCCACAGCCAATGAACAAATATGGAAGAGAATCCCTTATATCAAAACCGAGGCACTAAAATCACACCCAAGATGCTCTCTGCTCTGGGATGTCCAGCTAGCGGGAGGCTGGGCAACAGCGGTGGGATTCAGTAACAGTCAGCATGAACCCACGTGAGCACAGACGGAGCACGTACAGCGGCTGACAAGGAATTCTACGGRTGGAGGGCAAGTGAGGTGTTGGGAAGAGGCTGCCTGCACCATCGAGTTTCCCTCTACGAAGGCCCCATTGTCCTAAGGAGGCTACAGGCTTTTTAGAGTGGGTATCAGGTCTGGTCCTCTTTTAAAAAAGCTAGTTTTATACCATTCAAAGAACATGTTCGAATATCTTTGAGATCCAAAGGCTAAATGAATATGGTGACATTGAGCACAGTGAGATGGGGAGCCAGCACCTGGACATCACCAGCCTCCAAGCCAGGGACCTCAGGGGTTCCACAGTGTCTGTGTGCGCAAGAGCTGTGTGTGGGACTAACAGGACAGGTGGGTCTCCAGGCCACTCCAAGAGGAGGTGTCCAGGCCACCAGCCCAGGTAAAAGAACATGCCCAAGTCCATCTGCATGACGGGGATGATAACTGAACAGGGTGTGGTAAGGATTAAGTGGCAAAGCCATCCCTGGATCAACGTGGGAGGAGCCACGGTGACAACATGAGGGTCATCCTCCATAACCAAGGATCTGCTAAAGCAGAAGGGACTTAATGTAGTCTCTGTTCCTCCAAGGCCCTACCAGGATCAATGGTCAGGATAGTCCCCAAAGCAGCACTGACTCCATTTGGGGAAACCAAGTTTCCAACAGTTGTAAAGCTCAAGGACTGTGGCTACCTGGGAAAGAACAGAATTCCACAAACCTGGAAACATGGACCCAAGACTAGCAGGTCATGTCTCTAGCATATTCTTGAACAGAACTGGGCTTCAGCTGCAAGGCCAGATGCGATGACCTTCTCAAGTTGCTCCTGGGCAGGCATGGTGGTACATGCTGGGCCTGTAATCCCGCTACTTGGGAGGTTAAGGCAAGAGGATCTTGAGTATGAGGCCAGCCTAAACAACATGGTGAGACCCCATCTCAAAAAACAAGTAAACAAAATAAGMTAGAGTTGCCCCA